AATAGATAACGTTTAAAAATTAATTAACTTATTTTAATTGGAGGATAATTGCTTTACAATATTGTGGTGGTTTTTGCCATACCTAGACATGAATCCGGAGAAGGCAATGGCACCCCACTCCAGTACTCTTTCCTGGAAAATCCCATGGACGGAGGAGCCTGGTGGGCTGCAGTCCATGGGGTCGCGAAGAGTTGGACACAACTGAGCGACTTCACTTTCACTTTTCACTGTCATGCGTTGGAGAAGGAAATGGCAGCCCACTCCAGTATTCTTGCTTGGAGAATCCCAGGGACGGGAGCCTGGTGGGCTGCCGTCTATGGGGTCACACAGAGTTGTACACGACTGATGTGACTTGGCAGCAGCAGCAGACATGAATCAGCCATGAGTGCACATATGTCCCCCCATCCTGAACCCCCATCCTGTCTCTCTCCCCACATCACCCCTCTGGGTTGTCCCAGAGCACCGGCTTTGAGTGCCCTGCTTCGTACATCAAACTTATACTGGTCATCTATTTTACATATGGTAATATGCATGTTTCAATGCTATTCTCTCAAATCATCTTGCCCTTTCCTTCTCCCATGTAGTCCAAAAGTCTGTTCTTTACATCTGTGTCTCTTTTGCTGCCTTGCATATGGGTTTGTGGTTATCTTCTTTCTAAATTCCATATATATATATAGATGACTGTTTTAAGAGCTCATTTTAAAAGATTACTTACATTTAGTGGTATAATTGACTGAGATTATAGGATAACTGAGGATAATCCTTTCTTTAACTGGAAATTTGTAGCATTAAACTCTGGAAAAGGGCAGGAAGGAGGAACAATGTGTCCAATAGGAAAACACTAGCTCTACTTTAAGAGTATTCTAGGATTTCAGTATTTCTAGAATTATATAATGTATTGGTTAGGAGTGAGGTCTCTGGAAACAGACTGATTTGGTTTAATCCTGGCTCTGTCACTTGATAGTCCACTGAACATGAGTAAGTTATTTACTTGTTCACCCCTCTGCTGAAGTTTTCTCATCTTTAAGAGAAACTAAATGTGATAGTGGATGCAAATGCTAGTTTAGTACAGTACCCAACATACAGTGATGACTCAGTTAAGTATTTCCCATTCTCTGGCAACCCATTCCAGTATTCTTGCCTGGAGAATCCCATGGACAGAGGAGCCTGGCGGGCTACAGGCCATGGGATTACAAAGAGTTGGGCACGACTTAGCAACTAAACCACCACCATTCTGTCCCTATAACTGGTTCATCAGTAGGTTCTGTCAATTCTGCCTCTAAAATTTTTGTTCAGCCACTTCTCTCTGTCTCTGTTGCCATCTACCTTTGGCAGTCATCCCCAACTAGACTTCCTCTTCTTCCTGATGGTTCCTTCAATGCCCACAGTCAGAACCTCTGCTGAAATCCTTTTAAGACTTCCTTCCATTTTATGCAGAAGAGAATTCAAGTTCCTTCTAAGGCCATCAAGACCCTAGGTAATCTGGCCCCTGCCTACATCCCTGACATCATTTCATATCATGGTACTCCAGCTGCACAGGCCTCTTCCTGTTCTAGAACAGGCAACGTTTGTTCCTATCTCAGGTCTTCTGGATTTGCTGCTGTGTCTGCCTGAAGTGCTTCATCCTCATCTCTTTGCATTACTGGCTTCAGGTCTCAGCTCAAATGTCACCATCACAGAGAGGCCTTCCCAGACTACCCCAGCTTGTGGAGGATCTCCCTCCCCTACGTGTTACCACTATCACATCTTTGTAATTACGTCGTAGGATGTATTACAACTTAACCTGCCTTCTCATTTCTCTACTTGGTTGTTTTTATTGTTTCCTCCACATTACAGTGTAAATGCCAGATCTTCTTCACCACTCTATCCTCATTGCCTAGAATTGTTGATGTTCAGTCACTAAGTCATGTCTGACTCTTTGTGACCCCATGGACTGCAGCAGGCCAGGCTTCCCTGTCCTTCACCATCTCCCCTGGCTTGTAAGAGGCATTCCATAAATGTTTGCTGAATGAATGATAATTGTTAGTTGCTGTTATTTTTATAATTACACATCATCCTTTGCATCATGTCCGAGTCTTTCTCCTGTTGGCAATATGATTTGGGAGTGAAACACTTGGTAGAATTTAAATGTGCTCACCTAGACTCAATCTTTACTTGGACAGGGAGGAAAGGGAAAGGGAAAACAAGTCTCAAGGACATATTTACATGGTATGACTGGAAACTCAGTGAGGAGCTGGGTGTAGGATGAAGGCCCATCCCATCCCCTGGGGGACCACAGTAAAAGCACATCAAGTTAGATTTTAGAATGTCTTGAAGGCAAAAAAAGCAGCCTTCATGAAGTAGGCTACTGGCCACTGTGTATAGTTTTTTGTGACTATATTATTATATAGGTGTGTAGTTGGTTTGCCTAACAAATCTTCACAGCCAGGAACATGTCTTCTGATCTTCATCCTTACTGCACCTAAGGATGCATTAAGAGTGAGTACTCAGAGTACTCATGGTGAGGATTTGGTAGTTTACCCAAACCGGTGGCACCTTTTGATGACCCAGTTGATGGTTATTTCTTTGATTTCTTTCCTGTAAATCTATAGTCCCCAAGAACCTGTGTATTTCAGACATTTTTCTTCATGTCCCTCTCTGCTATGTCTGTGAGATACAACAGTCTGTAGATTTTCAGATTCATTTTATTTCAAAATGCGCTCTATGAAAAGAAATTACTAATAGATGTTTAAAAGGAGAGTAAATCTATCAGAGTGGCCACATCAATTGTTGTCAATATTCTTTAGGGCCCCACAGTTTTATGGCCATTGCTTCTAAGTATATGTATTCTCAGGGTACTGTTCAAATGACTCAACAACTGGTGTAGCTCAGGCATGGATGGGTCAAGATGGGTCAAAGTGGATGCCTGTTTTAATGCTGCAGCAGAGTACTGTACTAGGTTGACTCCTTCATTATTGGATGGTGGGAGGATCCAGGGAGAGGGCCCAGGGGAGTGGGGGTGCTGGGAATATGGGAGTACAGTGGAAAGCTTGGGGGAGCAGCTACTTACCAAGAAATATATAAGTATTTCAATATTTTGACAACCATTATGACTGTGGGCTTCCCTGGTGGCTTAATCAGTAAAGAATCTCTCTGCGATACAGGAGATCTGGATTTGATCCCTGGGTTGGAAAGATCCCCTGGAGGAGGGCATGGTAACCCACTCCAATATTCTTGCCTGGAGAATCCCCATGGACAGAGGAGCCTAGTGGGCTACAGTCCATGGGGTCACAAAGAGTCAGACACGACTGAGCGACTCAGCACAGCACATGACTGTACCAGCTGGACTTCAGTCCTCCACGTTCTTCTTAGTCTTGGAAACCGCATCTGTCATGTTAGAGTTGACCTTCCAGCCAGGACTGGCACTGAGGGCTATACTTTATCTCACCACAGTACTCTTTGTCCTATTAAGATGGACACAAACTTTTACAAACATTTGAACCAAATAGACTTACTGTTGCAGAAGGAGAAGCTACTGGGAAAGAATGGGTTGGGGAGGGGTGGGAAGCTTTGGCTATCTATCACTCATCCCAGCAGAGATTTCAGCAGAAACTTAATAAGCCAGTCTCGTAGTGATAGCAGAACTCTTAGGCACGGTTCAGACTAAATCGGAGTGTAGATGGAGGCCAGCTGCTTTTGATAAATGACTCGACATGGCTGAGTGTTCTACAAAAAGAAACCTTCAGTGCTGCAAATGTGCATGGATGATGTCATGAGTCCTTCAAATGGATGAAGGCTAATGGATCAGAAGTGAGCCTGATGCCAAAAAAATGGCTTCACTGAGAGAGAACTCAGGTTTGGAGTTACACAAGGCATCCTGCAGAATTTTTCTTCCTCAATGCCTTGGTTCAGTGCACTGTTTCAATTTGCTTAGCTTCAACTAGAAAACACTTAATATTCTTAGGCATTTTTAGCCTAATGGATTTGATACACACGTATTTCCTCAACCTAAATTTCCCAAGGTGGGTAATTGCTCTGGAGATTGTTAACATTATAATCAGAGATTAATGAGACTGGCTGGTGAATCCCAAACACTTGTAACCCTTGGTGAACTTTTGTGATCCCTACCAATAACTCATTGTGTATGACTGGATCTGGGTGGAAGATTTGACTTGGTGGTTTGACATTTAACCTTTAAAATGAATGGCATAATTTGCAGGTGCACTTGTTCCACAAGGTAGCTAATGAATGATATATGTAATTGTCAACATAGATCTAAGCCTGGAGACATTTGACAAATATAATTTCTGCTGAAAAACAATGAATGTTTGTAGACATCTGTGCAGTCTCCAGTTCTTAGGTTTTGTTGTAGGAGAAAAGATTCTAAGAGATGATTCAACTGAGAGTTGTGGTCATCTACACATTTTCAGAGATATATCATACTAACTCCTAACTGGCTTAGTTTTCCTGGAGTTAGGGTAAGTTGAAATTCTTAGTTAACAATAGCAGGCGAGTTAGCTAAGGGACTAAATGTAGGTGAAAGAAGGATGAACCAAATCTTAATACAAATTGCCTGAATAGTTGTGCAAATTGTAATCTGGATAAGATTTATTTAAAACAAACATAGCCAAACAGTTCACTGAAGTGCCTTCCTCAACCTATATCCAGAAACAGCATTTTAGCTTTTGGAAGACATGGTAAAATAGTAGCTTGGACTAGTGCCCAGACTGCTCCAAGATAAGGTAAAAGGAGAGTGTGTGTCTTGGATTGGAGCCATTTCCCTAGAAGATGCAAACCCAAGGCAGAGTCTTAGAAGAATCCTTTCTTATTATAATAGGAGCCCCTTCACATATGCCTTAGCAACCCTTGATTTCCAGGGGAAAAGTGGATTCTAAACTCTTCACCCTGAATAAAGTTGCTGCTCTAGGGCATGCACATTCTGTGACTTCTTAGATTTTCATGACTGCTTTCTTTCTCTCTTGGTTGCTACTGCACCCTCACCTGGTTGCCCTGCCATTTTTAGACTTGAATGAAATGCTACAGATGGGAGATCTGGAATCCTGAGGGAGACTCCTGAAGGGCTGGATGACGCAACCAAGAAGTGAGTGGGGGTAAGCTTCCCCTGGGGGTGAGCCTTAAACAGAAAGAAATGGAGTTGAAAGAGGGGCTGGAAAGATGAATTCTGACTCCATTCCATCTTCTAAGAACTGCTCTGGGGTACAGTTACTCCTTATAGCCCTTCTGGAGAAATCCCATGTGCCATGTGAACATGGCTGCCAAGGGACCCGCTGGATCTCTCCTTGGGTCATAATTGTGGGAGATGGGGGTGGCAAATTGCATCATACTGCAGTGCGTTGTTCCTTGAAACTCATTTTCTTCTCTCCCTTACTATCCTGGGCTTCCATCTCCCAAATAAAGTGTTAGCACTTTCAATGCGTTAGGAGGCTCTGCCTTCTAGGATATCGTGGCTTTAGATACTAGGCTAATCATTAAACATTTTACCAGCTCATTAACAGATTTGCCTAATCAATATGTGACATTATCCTTCCTCAGGTCAGACTGAAAACTGATTTAAGTCTTTTTAATATTTATAGTTTCAATTTGTGCAGTAACAGTCAATACCAGCTGTTCTCAACCATAGTTCAACAGAATTAACCCTTAATTCCTAAGGCACCTGAAGTATGTAATGAATTAACTTCTCTTCTGTGCATCTAGAGTGTACCATCCTTGGAAGTAAGCAATTACTTAAGTCACTTCCTGTAGGAATTACTTCTCTTGAGGAATCCTGGTTGTGAAGTGCTGATCTTTACCTTCTCAGGTATTTTCCTGAGATGGCTTTTATTCATTTTGTTACTAGACAAGAAAAAAATGTGTTCAATTCATTTGTGTTTTCCAATGTTAGTCCTGTTGACAACTAACTAACAAAGGAAGTGAATTACTTGATTCATATTTAATAAATATTTGAATATCTACTAAGAGCCAGGTTCTAGGAAAACGAAGAAGAGCAAGGCTTGTTCTCTGTTTTCCCAGAGCTTCGTTTACTGGGGATATAATATAGATAAATATCACACTGTGTGCATAACAGAAATACATAGAAAGTGACTTGAGGACAGAGGAGCTGAGATAATATTCTCTTTTCACATTGTATTTTGCTCTACTTTTGTACCATTCATAGCATTTATAACTTGTTGTGTCCTAGGGAACATAACTAAAATAAGCCATCTGTAAGAAAACTATGATGAAATCTTCTTAACCATTTATATAACATTATTTTTTTTTTTCTGGGTACTTAAAAAAAAAAAAATAGCTGAGTTCTACATGGTATCAAAAGGAAAAGAGGCTGAAATGTACCAAATCAACCAGTCTGGGGTCTAACAGCTAGGTTACTCACAATGAAATTTTTAGTGAAGTATGTTATTTTTTTCTGATACTTCTTATTGAAACAAAAGTAGACAAAGTTCTCTGCATTGTTTTTCAGAGTCTGACTTTCAAAATAAAGTGATTATGCCAGTCACAAATACTGGGAGATCAGAAGTTTGGTGCCAAATTGAAAGAGTGTCTGTCATTTGTATCTTTGGCCAAAGAAGTGGGTCTTCAAAATTTTTTGCTAAAATCCATTTAAAATCTGCTGGCATATTCATATCTGTAAAAATTACTTTGCTGGTTCTAAGGTAGAATAAGTTTATCACTGAAATTTGCAATTTTAGAAAATACTTGAAAGCATTTAAAATTATGTAAATAGCTCTGGCCAAATAACTTAAGGAGACGTGGTCCAGAGTGTGGCCTTGAGCTATGTTAATTTATACGCCTCTAAGGAAGGGTGGAGTTCATTGCAAAAACAGTGCTGTTCAAGAAAAATAAAGACTCATGTCTGACATATAATTTTTCAGATAACAAAATTACAAATCTCTGGCATTTATAAATTAAAGTTGTACTGCAAAGGTAAGGAGGATGAATATTCTTATTTCGAGTAATGATAAAAATTAAGAGAAGAAAATAAGGACAGGCTTTTTGGTATTGAAATACAGTTTCATTCTCAGATCTTAAAACAAAAGAATTAAGATTCTCTCATGGTACAGTCAGTGTGGGAACTGACTGTAGGTAATAAGGCATACCTGGCCCTGGGGATGTGTAGTGGGGAATGTATCGAAAGTCTTTTTGAAATCTGGCAGAAGCCCCCCTTTTTTTTAATGCCCTAGAAGAAAGGATAGGAATTGCAACACATTAGTCACAATAAATAGACCTTGTCCCTAAACACCCATGCACTTACCTCCTTACTTTTCATTGTGCCCATTGTTCATTTTCATCTCTGTCAATGAATGCAAATGTTTCACATTCTGGACCTAACTGGGGGCCGCAGTTGGAAAGATCACCTATCCTAATCAAGTCTTTATTAAACATACAAATCTTCTTAGTAGTCACTTTTTTCTCTTAGACAAATACAGGAGAGGATCCACTGTTCACTTCTAGAAACAATTCCATGAGAAAGATAAGTAACAGAAAATGGTTTCAGTGGTGATTTTTTGGGATTTTGGAATTATCCCAAATTCTGCTGATTGGCTTCCCTGGTGGCGCAGACAGCAAAGAATCTGCCTGCGATGCGGGAGACGGGGAAGATCTCCCGGAGAAGAAAATGGCTATTTACTCCAGTATTCTTGCCTGGAGAATCCATGGACAGAGGAATCTGATGGGCAGTTAATGGGGTCACTAAGAGTCAGACACAACTAAGCGACTAAGCATGCATTTAATATCGAGGGAAAATGAGTTCTGGATTCTCCTTCCACCAAATGAAGTCTTCTTGTTTATCAATCTCTCGTCAGATTTTGAACACAGGGACACAAAGAGTACATACATACAGGCAGTTTTTGTTTGACTGTTCTCTTCTCAGTAGCAACTCATTCTCCAGCCAGCAATCCAGGAGAAAGTCATCTGGAGTTATCCGGGTGAAAAAGTAAGAGCTTTTCTGTGAGGAATCAAAGCTTCTGTTCTTTGGGCTGCATGGTTAGCCTCTCTAGTTAGCCTTCCCCTTAAATCAATGAAAAAGTTCACAGAATGAAATGTTTAGTGCTCTCTTGGTCATGAGCCAGGGATGCTGTGCCTGCAAGCAAAACAAATTCTCAACAAGAATTTGTAAACAAGGATCAACTGACTAATGCCTGGTACAAAATGATGTCTGACATCTGTACCTCTAGTGGAAATTTGTGCAAAGGAGCAAAATTATTTTTTTTCTTGTTAACACTCTTTTCCATTAGATGACTGTTGTGCTCCCTGCATGGGTATCATTAATTTGGAATTTGGGTCTGAAATGGTGTTAGGCTGCTTTTGCCAAGTAATTCTTTTCCCCTTGTGAGTTTTATCCTCTTTTGTTTGTTCCTGTTTGAGACCTTTTAGAAACTTTATTTTTGTTCAGAAAAAGACATGATACCACATAGACCTACTAATTGTTTTCTTTAACGTGTGACTTATTATCCCTAAAAAGCCTTACAGCACCTCTAGGTCCCCATGGGAAGTTAAGAACAAATGGCAGGAGACCAGGTACTCAGGAAGAAAACTTTTGGCTAAGCAATATTGACTCATTGATGTTTAATAATACTACCAATTGTCTTTTAATGAACATATACCATGCGATAGGCACTGTCAAAATTGTTTTAAAAAACAACTTAAATTTTATCAAGCCCTTGGTATGTGCCAGGTACTATTGTAATACCAGAACTGGTAGCTCAAAACAACAGAAATTATTCTCTCATAGTTTTGGAGGTTAGTAGTCTGCAACAAGGAGTCAGCAGGCCCACCTTCTTTCTGAAGACTCTACTGTCGAATCTATTCCATGCCTTTCTTTTAGTTTCTGGTGTTCCTAGTATTCCTTGCAGCTCCTTGACTCCAATCTCTGCTTCCATTGTCACAGGGCCATCTCCCCTCAGTGTTTCTCTTTCTTCATAGGGTGTTCTCCTCTCTGCACATGTCTCTGCCCCTCTAAGCAGAACATCAGTCATATAGGATTAACCCTGGTGGCTCAGATTGTAAAGAATCTTCATGTAATGCAGGAGACCTGAGTTTGATCCCTGGCTTGGGAAGATCCCCTGCAGAAGGGAATGGCAACCCACTCCAGTATTCTTGCCTAGAGAATCCCAAGGACAGAGGAGCTTGGCGGGCCATAGTCCATGGGGTCTCGAAGAGTCAGACACGAATTAGCTACTAATACTTTCATTAATATATAGGAGGAATCTTAATGACAATCTAATGTTTTTGCTGTTGTTCAGTCGCTAAGTCATGTCTGACTCTTTGTGACCCCATGGACTGCAGCATGCCAGGCTTCCCTGTCCCTGGGAAGGGGAATGTCTCCCAGAGTTTGCTCAAACTTAGGTTCATTGAGTTGGTAACGCCATCCAACCATCTCATCCTCTGCCACCCCCTTCTCCTTCTGCCCTCAATTCTTCCTAGCATCAGGATCTTTTCCAAAGAATCTGCTCTTCGCGTCAGTTGGCCAAAATATTGGAGCTTCAGCATCAGTCCTTCCAATGAATATTCAGAGTTGATGTCCTTTAGGATTGACTGGTTTGCAGTGCAAGGGACTCTCAAAAGTTCTCCAGCATGAGTTTGAAAGCATCAATTCTTCAGCACTCAGCCTTCTGTATGGTCTAACTCTCACATCCATACATGACTACTGGAAGAACCATAGCTTTGATTATCCAGGTATCTGTCTGCAAAGTGTTTTCTATGCTTTTTAATACACTGTCTAGGTTTGTTACAGTTTTCCTTCCAAGGAGCAAGCCTCTTTTAATTTCAGCTTGGTTCTCCGATGGGCTGACTCAAAAAGAGAGTGCAAGGGAAAAATGGACTTCAGCTTCTCTACAGTACATATAGAGGTGCTCTTGAAAGGTAGTAATGAAAGAATATGTCCCAGTGGGAAGAACTTGCCTGTAAATAGAGCAGTCATGGTGGTAAGGATGGAGGCTATGCATAGGCTCCAAATTAGGGACTCACGCTTAGTAGACCTAGCTCCTGCCTCAGCACATGCCCAACTGCCAGAAACAGAGACTGTCTCTTGAAGAAATCAACCAGTCTCTTGGTAGCAAGTTGACTACACTGGACCCTTTTCAC